TGTTAATGCATATAATACTAAATAAGCACGAATAAAAAAAAAGTTTTGATTGGCTGTGAATTCTAAATACTAATTAATTTTGTTTTAAAAACATGGAATTCTTTGTACAAAGTCAGTCTTTTGTGTATTGACTTTGTAATTTCATTACATTTAAAAAAAATTCGACATAATCGATACTTTAAAAATTCGTGTAATGATGGAATATACGAGTTCCGTCGTGGCACCGACGTGGCACCGACGTGGCACCGACGCGGCACAGCCGGCACGTAACATTATATTAACGACTAGGTCGGTTGGCCGAAATAAAATAGCACTAATATCGTAAGCAACTTTATAATTATATACCAATTAGGCTACTTCCTACGGACTAGGACAGAGTAACGCCTTATACTAAGGCTAACAGAGTTCTTCCTGAACACTGAAACCTTGTGCGCTTATTTACAAAAACAAACGAGTCATTAAAAGTACACTCCAAATCAATCCACCAATTAAATTACTGCTACAGATAATCAAATCAGCTTATTAAATTTTAAATGATTATTAAGTATGTTTCATTATATAATATTATAGGCATCAGTTTAATATGATAATTAGGTATATAATTGTTATAATATTAGGCAGTGTTGCCAGTGGATTGTAACATTCGGCCATCCTGCTGCAGCCGTGTCCCACGGCGATCTTCCTCTCTTTCAGCAATGACAGCGGGATCCTGAAAGATTGATAATACGGCAGTCACTATATAGGGACAGGATGTACGAGGACCTTGATTTTTATTTATTATCGTATTTTTGTATATTGTTAACAGAGTATAAGATCTGCCCTTTGATATTATAACATCCTTGACCCAGGCTTGAACACACAGCTGCCCATAAATTTCAATATTGCAAAATATGGACTTGTTCACACAGCCGCCCTTCTAGTAATAACTTTCATTATTTTTCTACGTATCACACAGCCGTCCCATTACATGTAATAAAGATCACACAGTTCTATACTTTGTGCATTATGGACTTGATCACTTAGCCGCCCTGTCACATTTTTGATCACACAGTAAGTTTTCCCTCTTGCTACGGACTTCATCACACAGTAGTCCTTCCACAATGATATAAGATCACACAGTTTATTTTTCCCCTCATAAATTATGCAGTAATGCAGTTGGTCAGATAGTCAATAATAAAAATAGATAAATAAAATGTAAGTAAGTACCTTGAAACTATTAACTGATAACATTGAAACTATTTACATATTAAAGCCCTGAATGTGACATTAATAACAATTTTAAGTATATATCAATGTCTATGAATTTATGCATGAATTTTAAACTATTGCTCTTCAGATAATTGATAAAAATTGGATAATTTATTAGAATTAAAGCAACAATAACTTAACATTTTATTAGTGTACCTACATATAATTTAAATCTGATTTTGCTCAATATAATTTGTGCTTACAAAATATTGTTTATCAGTACAATAAATGAGAATCACACACCCTCACCGATCACGATATGTCTAGGTTTAGCTTTCAAGAAGGTCTATCAAATCGTCCCTATCTACTTCCCTATCACTACCAGAACTGTCATTGTCCGAAATAGTTGTTACGTAAGGCCGCAGAGTTTCCCCACGAACAACTGCACTGAACTTTTTATAACCCTTCATGCCTTTGATGCTTGTAATTGTGTAACGATCAAGGGAATGATCAGCTTTGCTCACTTTGTATGGCCCCGTATACAATGCACTAAGTTTTTTCGGGACTCCTGTGGTTGAATTAGTAGCTAAGCCTCCCTTCCATAGGACCAATTGTCCTATCTTGTACTTAAAACATTTTTTATGTTTTCGATCAAACCTAGATTTCATAACAGTCATATTTCTGTCTATACGCATCTTAGCAGTCTGTCTGTTAGTCTTTAATACTTGTTGTTGCGACCCCGAAGTAGTGGGTGCATCCGATGGGAAGGATGGATAGCGAGAATTCTTATGACCGAACATAAGATTGAATGGTGAGAAACCGGTGGTAGAGTTTGGTGTATTATTAATCCCCCACACTATATCATCCAGCTTACTGTCCCAAGTACATTCACTTTCAGACATTGAGTTTAAACCATTTAGCAAGGTACGATTTACGCGTTCGACTTGCCCATTAGAGCGTGGACTGGCTATAGCATTTAAAACATGCTTGAACTGCATTTCTTGAGAGAATTCTTTAAAATATCTACTTGTGAAGGCTTTCCCTCTGTCACTTATTATCCTAACTGGGTAACCGAATTGCATGATTATTTCTCTTAATAGCTTTATTGTTTCCGCGGAACTGCAGTTTTTAGCGGGACGAGCAAACACAAATTTAGTAAAGGCATCAATGACCACCAGAATGTAAATGTAGCCCTTACGAGTCTTTACAAATGGACCCAAGTGGTCGATATGCAATGTATGCATAGGTATTGCTGGTTTACTGATGGGATAGAGCTCTCCTTCTAATCTCCCATAATTGCCCTTGTTAAAAACACATTGTAAACAAGAGTTGATATATTTCCGTATGAACCTAGTCATCCCATCGAACCAAAATTTCTCTTTTATAACTTTTTCGCATTTCTCAAAACCTGGATGCCCTACCTGATCATGTTACTTCTGCAATAAACCGTACTTAGCTAATTTTGGAATAATGAAACGCTCCCCTGCTACAGTTTTCCTAAACAAAATTCCCTCCCTAACAATATAGTCAACAGACAAATTTATTCGTGGGTTCTCTTTTAGCTGAGCTACAATATTTTGAATTTTGTCATCCTGCATTTGTAAAGTAAGAAGCCAATCTGCACCATCAATTATAAGAATAGAGCTCATAGCGGGGTTTCTACTCAAGGCGTCCACGTGTTTCATCCTATCACCTGGTCGGTACTCAATTTCTAGATCAAAATCTTGGATAGTGAGCCACCAACGGGCTATACGCGGAATTAATTCTTTTTTAACTAGCGTTGTTCTTAATGCGGCGCAGTCAGTAACAACCTTTACTTTGATGCCGAATAAATAAATTCGAAATCTTCTAAGCGATTCGACAACAGCTAAAGTTTCGAGTTCATAACTATGGTAATGCTTTTCTTCGTTACTAGTGACTCTACTGAAATAAGCTATCGGTTTCAACTCACCATCTTCCTGATATTGTAATAGTATCCCGCCTAACCCTATTTTGCTCGCATCGGTGTGTAGCTCAGTAGTCGAGCTTCTATTGTATATACCTAAAATGGGTCTTTCAACTAAGCGTTGTTTAAGAGTCTGGAATGCTTCCTCTTGCTCCAGATCCCATCGCCAGTGCACATCCCTTTTTGTAAGTTCGGTTAACGGACGCGCCATTAGAGCAAATTTATGTATAAATTTCCTAAAATACGAGGTTAGGCCAATAAATTGTCGTATCTCATGTACATTCTGCGGACGCTTATATTCTGCCACACATCTTATTTTTGCTTCTCCTGGTTGTATTGTTCCAGCAGATATTTCGTGTCCTAAGTATGTAGCTGTATTTTTAAGAAAAGAACATTTTCCTAAGTTTAATTTTAGATTAGCTCGTTGTAGTAATTGCAAGACCTTCTCTAACAGTTCTAAACCTTCCTGGACCGTAATCGTCGGAATCATTACATCATCTAGGTAAAGGGCAACGTTTTGATCCACTTTACCGAGAGTCATTTGAATTAAGCGTGCAAATACGGCTGGGGCGTTGGCCAAACCTAGGGGCATTTTCACGAATTCATACTGTCCCGAAGGTGTCACGAACGCAGTTTTATGTATTGACTCCTCATCAATAGGGACCTGATAATAGCCTTGAGCGAGGTCAAGTGTGGTAAAGAAATGTTTACCTGAAAGTCTAGTTATCTGATCTTCAATGTGAGGTAATGGGTACCGATCCTTAATAGTGTTGGCATTTAATGCTCTATAATCAACGCATAGTCTATAATCTCCCCCCTTTTTCCTAACAAGCACTACAGGGCTGGCGTATTCAGACATAGATTTCCTAATTATACCTGCATGTAAAAGATCTTCTACCTTTTCGTTTACGATCTCATTTTCCTTATGGGATAACCTATAAGGCTTACAATAGACAGGTTTATTATTCATCGTACGAATGTGCATTATAATTAGATTTGTACACCCTAACTCGTTAGTGTTCCTAGCAAAAGACTGTCCGAATTTATTTAATAGACCCAATAATTGACTGTTTTCACAGTCACTAAGAACACCTTTATTTACATCAGATATACTTATTTTCCCTTTACATTGCGTGGGTAGAGGATCTATAATAAAAATCGGTGGATCTCGTTTAAGGGGCAGCATTAGTATCTCTGCTCTAGCTATCAACCTATTCCACATAATGTCGTCATTACCTACATTAACTATTTTAAGATAATTATTTTTTGAATTAATGATAACTGACGGTATTAAGTAAGCTATCCCCCCAATATGAGACCATACTGTGCGCGACAAGAATGTGTGGTTTTCATGGTTGTTTTCGTCATAATCTATATAAACTTCAACATATTCACTATTTTGCGCGGGTATCGTTACATTATATTTAAAAAAAAATAGGGTACTTAGAAATAAAGTCTGATGATTGCAAATCTAAAGTTGCTAATATATTATGTACAGCGTCACTCCGAACAAATTTTATGGATGAAGCTGTAGTGACCAAGCTAACACCTTTATTAGTAATCATCGTCTGCCTAATGATTAAGTCAACATCTGCGATTATGGAATTGGTCAATTCAACTATCCCATCCAATATAAGGTTATCTATTAATACGGTAATGTAGCATGAACCTAGTGAATTCACACGACCCCTACCAAAACCTGTCATACTAGTGGTGCTTGGCTGAATCACCAGCTGTAAATATTTAGCTTTCGAAATAGTTAGAATGTTTAGTCTACTTCCAGTATCTATATAAGCTATTAACTCGCTCCCTTTTACAATTACTTTCCTTTTAAACATATTCGGAAATATATTATAAATATTGCTTAGAACGTTACCAACCTTTTGCGTATGTGGTCCCTGTGCTCCCGGTGCAAACCAGCACGTAGCAGCCTTATGACCAATACGCCGACATGTATCGCAGCGTTGCTGCAACCTGCAGTCACGCGCCTCGTGACCCTGACGGCGACACACGTAGCACAGCTTAGGTTGAAGCTGTTGGGTAGGAGCTTCCCTGACCACACCACCAGCTCCTCTTCTCCATACGGACCTTCGTGCATTATAAAGAGTATCCGTCCGCCGATAGTTCTCCAGCGATGATAAGTAGCCGAAGTAAAGTTGTTCGGGGGTATCGCAACAATATGCTTTTGCATTAGCTTGCAACTCCGCAGGTAGGCCATGAATTATACAGGAATTCGCTTGATCACCATGAATGCCACATTTCTTAAGGAGGGATATTTTCTCGTGATAGTACTTGGTCATAGTTTCCGCATCTTGTTTTTTCCTAGCCAGCATTTGTTCCAATCTATCCACGTAATCTGTCGATCGTGGAAAAGCAACAAAAAGGGCTCGTTTTCATTCTTCCCAAGTAAGATTGTAATTATCCAACTCGTCATACCAGTCGCGTGCAGCGCCCCTTAATCGTAATTGCATAACGAACTGCCGATCAGTGTTGCTCCATCCGTAGACGTCGCCGAGTTGATCAATTTTATGTAACCAACCCTTAACATTACTGCTACTGTTCTCAGGTTGAAATTCTGAGATAATTTCCGCATCAGTTGTCGTCACGTGTCTTCTTTCCAATGTTGAACGACGGTTTTCAGGGGAAGAAAAAAAATCTTTGTCTACCTCCGTCGTAGCTAGGCGAATCTGCTCCTCAGAATTCGTAGATATTGTTGGGCGTCTCCGCTTACGCATGCCTAAGCCGCGATATGGCCCAGACATGTCGAATCTTTATCCCACTTCTGAGATATTAACGACTAGGTCGGTTGGCCGAAATAAAATAGCACTAATATCGTAAGCAACTTTATAATTATATACCAATTAGGCTACTTCCTACGGACTAGGACAGAGTAACACCTTATACTAAGGCTAAGAGAGTTCTTCCTGAACACTGAAACCTTGTGCGCTTATATACAAAAACAAACGAGTCATTAAAAGTACACTCCAAATCAATCCACCAATTAAATTACTGCTACAGATAATCAAATCAGCTTATTAAATTTTAAATGATTATTAAGTATGTTTCATTATATAATATTATAGGCATCAGTTTAATATGATAATTAGGTATATAATTGTTATAATATTAGGCAGTGCTGCCAGTGAATTGTAACAATTAACAACATTTATGGCGAGAAATTTAAAAATGAACGCACAACCCGTTATTGGTTTACCCGGTTCCGAACTGGAAATTTTGACTTGAAAAATGAACCCCGTGGTCGTCCGGACACTGGCCAACAAGGATGAATTTACAGTCGAGCTAGCAGAAGATTTTGATGTTAGCATCCAAACAATATTGATCCATTTGCGACAAATTGGCAAGGTGAAAAAGCTTGATATAGATGGGTGCCCCACGAACTTTACGATCGCTAGCTCCACGTTCGCATCGAGACCTGCCTCGCGCTGCTCAACAGGCACAGAAATGAAGGAATTTTGAACCGAATAGTTACGTGCGACGCAAAATGGATTCTGTTCGACAATCAAAAGCGCTCAGCACGTTGGTTCGATCCTGGTCCAGCACCAAAGCAATGCCCTAAACAAAAAAATACCCCTGAAAGGTGGTGGTCCCTGTTTGGTGGTCTAGTGCTTGTGTGATTCATCACAGCTTTTTATAAAACGGCATGATTATTACTGCAGACGTGTACTGTGAAGAACTAAAGACAATGATGGAGAAGCTCGCACATCTGCAATCAGCTTTGGTCAATCGGTCGTCGCCGCTGCTCCTTCAGGATAACTCGTGACCCCATGCTGCACACAGCCAGACAGCCTCCAAGTTCTCCTTCATTTATCCGCCATACTTACAAGACCGACTATTACTTTTCCAAAAGAAAACTTTTTAGTGGAATAAATTAAATTCCCGAGAGGCAGTATAAAATGCCTTTGAAGAGTTTGTAGCCTCCCATCCAGCTGATTTTTACAAGAAGGGCATCAATAATATACCACTGCGTTTGCAAAGATGCATTGCTTGCAAGGCTGATTACTTTGAATATCAGAAATAAAAAAAAACTTATACTAAAAAATAAATACTTTATTTCTTACAAAACGGCAATTTCATAGGTCTACTATTTTTAAATCCTGAATGTTTTTGTGCATATCGTCCAGGGTGGAGGATCGGACAATATCTATTTTTCATCCCCCTTAATGTTGAGGGTGGTCCACCCTAAACATTTTTTTCTACCCTTCAAATAATTTATATGGCAAAATAACGTTTGCCGGGTCAGCTAGTGTCCTATAAAAATGTAATTACTCACTATTATTGTTTACTGGTTTTAAACGTTGACAGCGTTACTTATTTATCGATTAACTTTCAGAAATAAATGATCTATTGCAATTTAAATTAGTGTCTTGGGATTTTATTATTCAAACCAATTTTTTTTTAAAGTTATTTCAGTTTTAAGTTTTCATTTCTGTCGGCAGCATGACTGCTTATTTTTCTAACTTCGTCTTAAGTCATATTATGATTTCTATGCTTATTATTATATAATGTGATATTTCATAAGTAAAAGTAACAAAAAACTGTTGAGTTATGAAATATTATTTTAGTAACAAATCGTTTAAAAGAATATTAAATAAGAATTGGGCTGTGAAAAAGTTATATTTTTAATATTTAACGGTCGTTTAGCAATTTATGTTCAACCCTTCTTGGAGTGCTCTAATGTAGTATTTAAGAGATAAGCTTTGAAATGCGCTTGTAATGAGCTTACACCACCACGAAAACGGTTATAAATTCAGAAGGCGCCTTCCGCTTACGTTTTGGGGTATTATCTTTGCCCGAAAGCGAATAATGTTGTATATACATTATTACACAAAATTTGCAACAATATTCGTATATATGTGTTATATTAAATTTAAAGTCTAATTTTAATTACGAAAATTATAAGGTTATAAGCTGAAATTAATAATAATTAATAATACAACATAAAATAAGTCTAAGTAACACTAACTAATATTTTAACGCAACGGTGTGTTTTCGGTTATCAGACAAAACTAGTATAATATTAATTATAAATACGTAAATAATAAAAATGATAGTATGAGACATTAGACAAAGTACTAAAAAATAAAGTGAAAAGAATTGGTAAAAGCTTATTTTTATTAAAATTGAACGATTTGCTGATGTTATTGACCTCATCCTGCGGTAATTTCAGTAGGTCCTACAGTTTTTGGGTATTGGATATACAGTCTAGGTCTTTTCAAATCTCCTGTATCATATCCCACGGGTGGTCAATTGGGTAGTCCGCCGATTGAACAGGCTACGGCAGAACTTGAATGTGTTCTTGCAAAAGCCATTCCTGAGTACTCCTAGCTGTTTAGCAAAGAGCATTGTCGTGCATCAGAGTGAGCCAATACTATGTGAAAAAGATAACACATGAATGTTTTTGGTGTGAGAATTAATGTTTAAGTTGCTATTGAGCTGAGTTCATCTGTACGTCTACTGTTGACCCACCCCCCCAGAGTTAAACTTCTTGAACAAACTGTCATCTGGATATTTTTTTATGTAAAAAGAGGGCAATAGACTCAGCGCCACTGAACTGCCACACTGGAGAGCTTACAGATACGTTGCCGGCCTTTCAGGAATATGCTCTCTCCTTGTAGGTTCCCAGGACGTAGCAGTTCGGAAACACTGGTTCCATAGAGTGGTTGTGCGAGTCGGAAAATGGTCTTAAATTGTGATACGCTCGACATCATTCAGAACAACTGCAATCAATAAATTTATCTGAGTTTTATTTCCAATCATTTACTTTCTTGTAGGGCCAATGAAAAAGTTATTTCATGTTTATTACGAGGACGTCAACAAAGGAGAAAACACAAACACACAACAAAGTACAACAAGCCAAGCCAAATCCAAATAAATATCGAAACACTGTTAAGCCCTCATACAATCATTGTTACTTAATGGCACCTGACTTATTATCCACATAATATTATTTGGAACAAACGTCATGTGTTATCATTAAATAAGCTTAGGTATTTGTTAACTCAATGTATTTCACCAATGATAAGTCACGAAATCCTTGAATAATGAGGCTATTGATTATATTATATCTTATGAATATTATATTTTAAGAATCAACTATTGTGTGTATGTATACGAAAATTATCTATTATGTAAACGACAAAATATATCTACTTGAGGCGAAAATATTAAGTCTAAAAAATCTGAACTCCTCGTTGTTTGATGTCAGAAACATGAATGAGGTTTATTGGATATTCATATTTTTGAGTGAATTCGTATAAAAGAATATCAGTTCGGTCTGTCAGAATTCGGTTTTTTTTTATAAGAGCCACGTGTGCAAAATCGCATAAATTACATTTATGATGCTAGTTTTCGTCTATTATAAAGAATAATAGATTTTATCGTATTTTATTATTTGAGTAATTGTATTTTGGTAATTGTATTGACATTAGTGTAAAATATTTTGGGGTTGCTGGGTAGATGCGTTCCCAATAATTAAAAAACGGGCCCCGGTATCCTAGACACCAAAAGTAACGCAAAAGAAATATTTTCACTTCATACCGATTCTTTCAATACATCCGGTACGCGCCGTGATATATCTCTTTGAAGTTGAACAAAAAAAAAAAACCGACAGTAGAGCGTCACATATAGATCTGGAATTATCATTAAGTTCTTTTATCGTGCTATTGAGATCTCGAGGTAAATGCTTATGGATCGCCAGTCCGGATCGCTTCTTTATGTTGCAGATTATATGAACATTCAATGGAAACTCGAGTGGCTGGGTGTGCTTTCCGTCCTCTGCCGAGAACAACCTCTGCAATGTCTAAACCTGGTGCTTTTAAAAAAAATAAATGTGAAATAAAAGTGAATAAATAATCCATCTCGGTGTTCTGCAATTATCGGATTAATTCAATGGTATATGTTCGTTGTCTGCACTATTGTGTAATCTTATGGAACTATTGATCCCGATAAACAATGCTGCTAATGATGCTTGTTGCTGGTTGGATAGGCGATGGAATACTTAAATGAATTATTGAAATGCGAATACAAATAACTTCAACCTTTATATTATGTTTCCGGTAAAAGGTGATTTTAGGGTCTTGATCAGCGTTCCCAATGCGATTCAGAAGACCTTCGCTCATGGAATATTATATAAGTACTTTTCGTATGTATTTTAGAAGAGATTTTGTAATA